AATCCTTACTGCCCATCAAAACAGATGTAGGCTCCTTCACTGAATATTATTTTATTACTGTTATAATTATTGTTATGATTGTTTCTTGGTTTATTGTTGTTTCCTCTTTAGTTTCTGTCATTAATCTGCTTCACATTTTATTATCTTCACACTAAAACTTGGTTTCTTACTTTAATTGTTCTAGTCTGCAGCCTTCGGTCTGTAGAAAACCACAGAGCTCCATCACTGCAGAATCTTCCAGGTTGGTTCTGCTCAGGTCCAGTTCTGTCAGATGGGTCGGGTTGGACTGCAGTGCTGATAACAGAGACGTCCAGCTGGTCTCTGACAAACTGCAGTTCTCCAATCTGAATAAAGGATAAAAGATGAGCTGAAGCCAACAGGATGCAGTTAAAACTGAAATATGAACAAATAAATAATAAAAATACAGTAAATTTATTAAACTGATCTGATGCTGTTAAAGACTAAAGCTACAATCCTCCAATCACGGAGCAGAGTTTTTGATGTCAGGAATACTGAATGATGATTGGCTTATACAACTGACCTCCCAGCACAGATTATCTATAAAACAGGAAGGCCACTCTGAGAACTTTTGATTTTATTTCAGATTTAGAAGTTATTCTGTTGTTTTTATTGTATTTTAATTTTAAACAAAATTCAATTTAAATATAATACAGAATCTAATGTTTTTTAATCATTAAAATGTTGAACTTTAATTAGTTCTGTCTCATGAACATTTTCTCAGATTATATTTTGCTCTAATGAATTCATCAGAGGGCCAGACGGAAGCCGCCGTTGGGCCAGAAGTGGTCCAAGCGCCAACAGCCCTGCTCTAGATGGTCTCAGTCTGGGTCAATAGGACCCAATCATGGGGAAGACTGCTGGCTGGACTGACGTCCAAAAGACAGACATGGACAATAAGGACGAAGGCCTGGAAATGTCAAGAAGCTGGTTGTTCAGAGAGCTGCATCCAAAAATATTCAGGGAAAATTGAGTGGAAGGAAGAACTGTGGTGGCAAAAATGTGGACCAGCAGAAGAGATAAGTGCAGTTATCAGTCATGACATCTGGCTGATATCACAGACGTCTTCAAGGAAGATGTTAGTGATAAACTGAAGAAATGAAAATGAACAAAGTTTCTGATTATTTCAAGCTTTTACTTTTTGAAGTTATTTTATGTGATATTTTAGTGTTGAGTATTTTGAAAAGGAAGATTTCCTTTTATATGAAAACAGACTCTTAGTTTGGTACATAATGTTTGAGCTCTTAGATAAACATGAGAGGGAAAAAACTTTTTAACATCTTGTTAAATGAATATTCTGATGAATCAGCAGTTTGTTTCTTTTGTGTATTTCAGTATGTTATTTAACTTGGTCTCTGATGTCACTGAGGTTTGTTGGTCAAAATTAGTTTGGCTATTTAAAAATATTTAATGATATCATTTTTGTCAATATTGCCACCAATCATTACTGCCCATCAAAACAGATGTAGGCTACCTGCTCTGAATATTATTTTATTACTGTTATAATTATCGTTATGATTGTTGTTGTTTCAGTATTTTTCTTCAAAAATCTAAAAAACATTGTCATGTTGTCATGACATTGTCATGATTAGACCAAATAATTGTAATGGTGTATAAATGATGTAAGCTTAGCAGCAGCCAATCAGAACAGACTAAACATTTCAATTCAAACTGATGGTTTAATCATTTTTTATGTTCTGCTCTATTTTTTAATATTTTAGTAACTCAGTCCTGTAAAAACTGACCAGATAAAAGATGTAAAACTAAACCAGTTTAAATTATTATCAAAAAGCTGCAACATTAACATGGATAATGCAAATATATCAGTCATAACTCTTCTTCTCTTCAGTGTCAGATTCTGGAGATGCAGCTCCGTGCTGCCTTCAGGAAAACAGGACGTCAGAGTGTCAGCTATTAAACGTCACCACATGGTATTACTGTGTAAACCAGAGTTTAAGTGGAAAACATCAGAGCCAAATCATGTTAATGACATATAAATATGGGACAGAAACATGGATGATATTTTATATAAACGTGTCTATTGATTTATAGATCAATAGTTTCACTGATCAAAAATGACAAAGAACAAATATGGTTCTGAATCAAATCAATATGAGTTCAATTAAAGTGTCAATTAACATCCTCATGGAATTAACATTGACATGAAAAATAACATTAAAAATAAAGATATAAAATAAAATCTCATTGAAAAATAAAGAAGTGATGAATCCATGATTACTATTATGGTCTGTAAAGTTTATTACAGTTTTAGTTTTGGTTTCAACAAACCAACAATATTATTTTACCTTGTATTTAAAACAATAAAATCTCAGTTCTTGCCATATTCTGTTCAGTCTCCTGTATTAATTATTGCTGAAAATGTCTTTCCACATCAGTGTGTTCCTTTGTATTTAGTTTAGTTTATTTTTGCATTTTGTTCTTTGTGTTTTTCTCTTTAGTTTCTTTGATCAGTTTTAGATTTTCTTGGTTTATTGTTGTTTCCTCTTTAGTTTCTGTCATTAATCTGGTTCACATTTTATTATCTTCACACTAAAACTTGGTTTCTTACTTTAATTGTTCTAGTCTGCAGCCTTCGGTCTGTAGAA